AAAAATTATATGTGCTAAGCGATGGGGGCTCAGAAGGCTCATATTGGAGGGGCGTTTTGTGATCGAAAATTTCATTGAGCGTTGTTCCCTTTTTCTCTCGGAGGTCCGAAGTGTCACAGCGTTTTTCAAACACAAGGATTAAGAGGTGCGGAGTAGGATACTCATCGGTTTGGTGAATTTGGAAAAAATACATGAAGAAGCGCTCCGGATATTCAATGTAATGGTAGGCTTTGTGACATCCATAATAGCTTTTGCGTTGGTTTCCATGGTCATTTACCATTCATTGTATCTCATGGCTATTTTGAATAACTGAATCGCCTTACGCCAGTTAGTTTGTTATTCGTGCCCGAAATTTGGTACATAAAGTAACAGCCTTCGGTGCTAATTGAGTAAAGTACATGTAGAAATGTTCGCTAATCATTTCACTCCTTTGGATTAAAGTGGGTGCTGAGTTTCTCTCGATTTCTCATTATCGATTAAATCAATGTGTTCAGATCTACCTAACAATGACGTCAACGAGGACGGTGTGAAAACTGTGGTTGCATATATTGAGGAAGATGGGTCACGATACAAAGTATGGTACCTCCAACAAGTTGTAGTAGTTGCATTATCGTTCTAATGTATTGACGTTTTTCCTTTAGGTGGTCACCCAGTTCAAGGTAATCACAAAAAATGTTCCAAAAGTTGTAGCTGAACGAAAGAAGATGGCAAAGTTTGGACTTTGCCGCGACGAGCCCGCCGGTCCACAGGTATCGCTGTTTTTTAGGCTTTCACTCAAGCGAATTTTTCCTCACCATCATGAAGTAGTTTTGAGGAACACACCCACTTTTCAACCTGTGTTTTATTCTTGTGAATCTTTAGAGCTTTCCTAGGTTTCTACTACGTATGTAGCTGAAGAGGTAGAAATGCAATTTACTAGAAATCGCGCCGGTGAACAAATTTTGGATGTGCAGGAGGATAAGCAAGCGGTTCGTTGTTCAATTTGCAAGCTTATCATGATAAAAGTACAAGTTCACCATTACTGTTTGGTGTTTTTAAGTTTTAATGTGCTCTTGTTAAAAAAATTACCTTCTTTGTTTGCAGGCTAAAGTTACCAGCAGAGAACATTGTCGCCATTGCAAAGGAAATGATCACTGGAGCACAAACTGTCCATACAAGGTATCCTTCCCATAAGTATCGACATGTTTCGAATTAAAGCTGTTATTTGAGTCATTGTTGTATGAGGTTTTTATCACTATAGTGATCAGTTGCATTTTAGGAAATGTATCAAGTGGACGAAGAAGTCGATCCAGCAGAAGCTGCAGAAAAGGAACGCGCAGCAGCTGCTGGTGGCCGGTATATTGCTCCG